ATATGTTGTCAGATATGATCACATCAACCGTAACAAATATGTGCCACGTTTTACAAGCTGATTAGAAGTCGTTGCCTGACACGTTTTGTATTTGTGGGAGCTAGTGTTTAATTCTCAGTGTGCTCTCGTGTCGCCACATGCCTCAGATGTACTGTATGATTAAAATGTCTTTTTTATCACTTTTGTCCCGCTGTCTCCTATTGTCTGCTCTTCCAATATTTTCACGCACACTTGGACCATAAAATGAGATGAAGTTCAAAGAAGAGCGTGTATCTTTAATCATCAGTGTACACCTGTTTCATTGTCTCATAACTGCTGGCGCCTTCAGTGCTATCTGTTACATCTGGCCTGAGGTCATTCACCCGGTTACCTGCTCTTTATGCTCATGTACACTTGGTTTACACAAGAAAATAATCAGATTTTATTACTCGTTGTGATTCAAAGCTACAAGTCCAAATCCAGCCGTTCCACCCAGGAAATGTTTGGGAATTGTATAAAAAGACTATATAAAATTAATTAGAAAATCATTTTAGAAAGCTGCCTAATAGCTGGGTAAAAAAAAGTTACTTGTTGTGTGCCTTATTTCAAGCCTTACATCAACTCAAAGAAGTGCTCTAAACTTTTCTGCCTGCTGAGGCAGACGGCGTTAATTACAGGGAGACAACACTCTGGCACAAAGCGAGCAACCCAGCTGCCAGCAGCAGTGGTTTAGCTTGTCTAACAAATATATATTTTGAATGAGTTACTCTTTTGTAATTTTTCCAGGGCAGCATTGGAACAAAAGCTGCTGACTGTTTTCTCTTTGAAAGCTTACTCCCAACTGTGGGAATATTAGAGGAGCACGGAGGACATTTTCACAATGTTAAAGCAGCTATAATCAATATGTTTACAATAACCCTTCAGCTCTTCGGAGCTTTATATCAGTGGTTCCAGCCTTTTTCCTTAAGATGTTTTATAGAAATTCTTCTTTTTCTTTTTTAAACAATCATAGAATGATACAGCTTACAACAACATACAACAATCATTAAAGCTGCAGTAGGTAACTTTTATAGAAACGACTTCGTCATATTTGCTGGAACGTTCACTATATCCTAACAGTAGAACATGAGACAGATTATCTGTGAAACAATCAGGTTCCTCTGGCTCCTCCTGGTGTTCCTAGCCAACCCAAAATGTCTTTTTCTTTTTCATTGCTCTGTTTGGTTCTTGCAAATGCCATTAGGAGCTAATTTCAGCAAACATGACAAAAGTTATTTTCATAAAGGTTACATACTGCAGCTTTAATGGGTTTCTAGGTTTAAGTGTTTTCTTCTCCCGGACACTTGGCCATTGTCCTTTTAGCTCTTTGGTTGTTGTAACTGCGTACTTTTCTAATGCAGGACCAGGCTGTGTATGGGAATATAGCTTGAGTTCAGGTCTTCAAAGTTCAGATCTTAAATAATAATGTAAATATTTAAAACAACTATTTCATTTAGTTTTCTTCGTAGAGAAGAACAGAATGCCGAGATATAGGCTTATTACTCATCTTTCACGGTATCTAGAAACACAACAAATGAAAGCTACTATATGCTGGATGTGTAATAGATAATTGTGTGCCAGACTGTGGCCAAAAATCATTTGTTGCCCAGTATGACCAGTCCTCAATTGTGAAGCTCCACTGTTACTTGTTGAGCTGTCTGTATAAACAGGTGACAGATGTAGACATAATATCCCTCCTTTTTCATCCCGCTTTCTTTTTATGACCCCTTCAACCTCACTCTCTACTAAATCCATTCCAACCAAGTGCAGAAAACACCTGTTTCCCCAGAGGTCAGCTGGGAAAAGAAGCAGTCATCCTCTCCGATCGTCTTTCTGCTGCCTGTCTTCCCTCCAGTGTGGAATGTGGAGGCTGGTCTGCTGTCAGTCAACGGTAAGTTCCACAGTGGGTTCGAGCCCTGTTATGGGTGGACAGCCGAGTTCATGCTGAAGCACAAAGCTAAAGATACTCATCTCCTTTTGGCTCCACAATGGTTTTATTCACACATTGGATCAGAATCCAATGAGCACTCACTCCACAGATCCAACATTTCACTGCATTTCTTTTGATGGGGAAGTTCAGAGCCAATCCTTTTCTCACTGTCTTCAAGGGCCGCTTTGACATCTCAAATTTAGTGTTTTATTTTGCGTCCCAAACACGTCTCCCAATGTGGTTTCATGTTTCTGTGGAAACATGATTAACTCATCACAAGGCATTAGTTTCAACATGAAATGCGGGTTTCCACCGCAGCCTTGGCTCAAAAGCGCAGTTGGAAAATGGATGGATGATGCTTCTCTCGCCTGAAAACATTTCAGTCCAGGCAGGCTGATGGTGCCAGAGAGAAGGGAGGAAAAGTACCACTATGCTTTTGCTGGTTCTTTCCTCTCATCCCCGTCACGCCCCTTAACCCCAGAACAAACTTCCACAAACAAACAAGCCCTATAAAACACATTACGTAAGCAAACCACCCACAGTGGGCTTGCTTGATGCTTCTGTGTTGAAGGAAAGATCTTATTTTGGCTCACAGAGATCAGTTTGTGTTCCCCTCAGCCTCAGATCCCCCATGGCTGCCTTTATTCTCCTCCTCCTCTCAATCACTGCAGTGAAGATGAGTCCACTTCCCTCAGAGGATCCCTCCTCAGGCTTGCATGAGCATCCCTGTAATTATATTTGCTTAAACAGAGGTCAAATATTAGCTATGGCCATGGGGCAGGGTTTATTACATTTCCCTGCGAGGGAGAATCTCAGAAGCATGTGTGTCTGTTCTAAGTATATTCTGCAGGCCTGAAATAACTGTGAAGAGGCCGTGGAGCTGGAGAGCTTGTTTACCAGGCAAACATTTGCTTCCACTTTTCAAATTAGATTTTGGTGGAGCCGCTGGACTGGTTCAGATTTATAGATGTTAGACAGGTTTCCCTTCTTTCTCGTATGATCAGTGGAAAAGAAGACGTTTTTCTTTTTCACTAATCTTTTTATCCGTGGAGCCCAGAGCTCCAAATGAGACATAAACACGTCAAAAATATCAATAAATAAACCAATAAATAGGAATGTCACTTAAACAATTAAACTGTGGAGAAAAAACATGTAAATGAAAAAAGGGAAGAAGTTTTTATTTTTCTTAACTACCAATAAGTTAACGTGTGTGTGTGCGTGAGCGTGTGTGTGTGTGTGTGTGTGTGTGTGTGTGTGTGTGTGTGTGTGTGTGTGTGTGTGTGTGTGTGTGTGTGTGTGTGTCTTGAAATGAGAGGACTGTGTGGCTAATGTACCTGGTAACACACTGAGCAACAGTCTTTTCGGCTAGCTGCCAGTTTATCATAAAACAACAGCAGCCTTATTGACTGTGTGTGTTCACATACACACTAGTATCCTGGTTATGATCAGGTTTCTGCATTATTCTGTTTATCTGTTGTCCATAAAAACACCATATCAGTAATTTGGACGAGGCCTTATCCCAATTTTAAGAAACGATATGCTAGTACACCGAAAGAAACGGGGATAGCGTGGCCTGTTGTTCTTTGTTGGTACAGAACGCAGTGACTGAGATGGGGAGAAAGACTCACAACCAGGATACGATCGTGCATGTTAAAACTGTCACGATAAAAACTATTTTAACAGTAGCTAATTGCATTTTAGCACGAAAACGCTAATAAAGCTAGCTAACTAGCAATAACGCTAATTAGAAGTTCACAGACACCATATTATTATCTTCATAACATCTGCACGTCTCGTCCTAATACCACAACCCTAGCACCATTTTGCATCTTAATAATACTATATGCGTTTGCTTTGGGCCCACCATTATGTTTCAGTGCTTTTATGTCTGTCTCATTATCATAAAGGCATGGCCAACATTTGAAATGTGGTAAGCAAAACAGGAAATGTTGTTTGGGGAAACTGACAACTGCGTGCACCAAGACCAAAAATAGGACAACCAGAAGAATAACAACTAGAGAAAGATAAAAAGAAGAGTGACAGATTGGTGAGAGATTTTTTTTAAATCATTATTGGACTGTTTACACTTTTTCATTTTAATAATTAATCCCAAAGTATTATTTATTGATGCATTCGTTTTCAGTTTTAAGTCATTTCATGCATTTTGTCACTTTTAGGACTCCGTACATATCAACCTTACCGCTCAGTCAAGAACACAAAAGGCTTCCTGGGCCTTCACATAGCAGGTACACCTATGTACATCCAAATAATACCCACCGCATTTTGGGGGTACTAACAGCATTTACCAAGAAAAGTCCAACACTGGTAAAAATACCAGAAAATATAAACAACTGCACAATAAAAGCAGAGCGGACAGATGTTAATGCTGCCCTGTGTTCAGATTAATGGACTGTCCACAGTGTATAAGCAGCAGGAGCTTGCAGACGGGCTGTAATGTTCAGAACAGCTGGCTCATAAAGGCTGGGAGGATGCAGGCGGCCGGGGCCAACAGGACGGAAGCTTTCCTCTGCCCAGTAGCTTCCTGTTTTCAGACACACGTCTCAAATGAAAGGAAACCGGCTGACCTCAGATTCACTCTCATCTTACAGTCCAACAAAACCCAAGTCCTTAGAGAGATGGTATCATTTGCAGTGGCTGTTATAATGCAATAGTGTCATTAAAAGGAATCCTTGTTGAATGTGACACACCCAGTGCAATTATAAACAGTCCTGATGTGGTGATCACTCTCACTAATTAACGCACTGGTTTTCACCAATCACTCAAGACTGATGAGAGCCAGTAAAGACAGCTAACACTCGCCATCTAGTGGTGAAGATAGCAAATAAAACCTTTTTGGGTTCCATTTCGGTACTTTTTTAAAAGATCTGAGGCAAATGCAATTCTGAAGAATAAAATCATTCAAACTGAGGTTTACGATACAATTGAATGGACTCTGATTCAACCATTCAAATATAATTATCATTTACATTCCTAAAACCATAAAAAATATATTATTTTCTCTTAAATGGTTTCAGTTGATTAATAATGACACTTTACAGAGAAATGTGAGAGTTTATTTTATAATATATATAATACAGGATCATTTTGAAAGTCAATTTGATCATCAAAATTTCAATGCTGTGCCTCATCCTGTAAGCTATTAGGGTGAACAGTGCTGTGTTTGCATCAACAATAGATATTAGTGAGAACAGCCGTCTAGCAAATGCCTACCAAACACTGTTAATACACTTGATTCATCAGACACATTACACTTAGTTAAAAGATCAGTGTGTAGGATTTAGTAAAAATCTGGTTGTTTAGGATTTATGGTAACAAAAACATAACAATTCCTATATCTATGTGATTATACTCTAATAAAAACATACCTATGAATATTATATTCAATTTCTGACAATTTATCCTCCTAAATGTTACACACTGCACCTTAAACATTACATTTCATTTATTCCAATAACATAATACCAATCACTTTTGGGTTCGAATCCGACCTGCTGCCCTTTGCTGCGTGTCATCCTCTCTCTCTCTACCCACCTTTCCTGTCGATCTTCAGCTGTCTCTGTCCAATAAAGCCATGAAAAGGCCAAAAAATAACTTTAAAAAACACAAAACCGTTCAAGTCTGTCTATAGCAGAGCAGAATCAGCAGGCTCTGATTCTGCAGATTTCTTGCATACTTACTTCCTCTGAAGGTTCCTCTATTTTCCTTTTTTGACTTGAGAAAAAGTAAACCAGAAAGGCACTTTTAAGGGAAAATGTCTTCCTCATCCTGAGCACTAACTTACTGGTGACATTTTGGAAAGTCAGTATTAACAGTTTATCTTGGTTAAAGTAGACTTTCTTTAACATACAGTCAGAGATCACATGGCAATTGCTCTGATCTTCTCAAGCTGGATACCGTCCTCATTCTGAGGTGGAGCGTCAGGCTGTGCAGGCTCAGGTTCGTCCTCCGCAAACTTTTTCACCTTATTGTCTTTGAGTATCTGTGCGACAAGGCGCTCATAAAACCACCCCAAGTCCTGAGGGTCCTCTGGCCAGATCAGGTACTCTCTCCTCTGGACGAAAGCTCTGACTGCGTTGTACTTCATCAGCTGGTAGTGAGCCACCTTGAGTTGTATTGTATTATGGAGATATAGGTTAGCAGTGAAGGTATAGAACTTTCAGTTTTCTTCCCTAAATAGAGCAATGTTAATCTAAAATTACATGAAGCCTGACATCTACTGCTGACAAGTGGGTAGTGAATTGCCCTATCTACTGATCTTTGGCTACATGTTCTCTACAGAGTCACTTACCTTGCACCACAGGTAATTATCACCTGACTCTGCAACTTTACAGAGCTTTAGGTTTAAATTATATGGGAACCAGTGGGAGCTGAGCTAATAACAGTTACTTTTGTATAATACCATAAAGGGCAGAACTGCTTCCTTTGAGCTTCCAGGTCTGAAAAGTGAAGCCAATGCAGAAGTGTCTTAAAACCTGCATTCTATATAAATTCCAGCAGGGGGAGCTCCATTGGCTGCAATAACACACTGATACCATTCACTCTAATGGAGAATGAGCTGACTTGTCACTTCATTTATGAGCTCAGTAAACAGTTTCCTAATGAGTTCATGGTCTCAATCTCCAGTCTTCTTTCATACAGCATGATGTTCATGCAGTAAATTATGCTACAATTAAGAGTAAAATAGACATATGCTTTTGGGCGGGGATGATTGACAGGTCACTTCAAACTGTCAAATTAAGCAGTGCTGATCGAATAGATTCCGTTGTTGTGTTACCTATTTATCACTTAAAATCGTTTCAGAAACATATTTTAGTAAACTGTTTAGTTGTTATACGAGATCATGTGTGACCAAGCCAGCAACCATTGTTTCCTGCTACGGACGAGTTGAAACTGCGCAGCCAATAAGCGCAGATCAACTCGCAGTACGTTACGTCCACTGGCTTGCGCTGGCTCCGTCTAACTGCCATGGCGGCAGCCAAAATGCTGAATTCAAGGCTTTAAAACGGTACTCCACAAACCAATGGGTGACGTCACTGTAGGTTCACACTTCGTCTCAGTTGGCATATTTAAGGCTATTGAAACTTGTTAGCAGTATAGCGGGGTAGTTTTGGGTTGTTGAAATCTACTTGATACAATTGTTGCAATTAGTGGACTGCTGAGACCACCAGATTATAACTTGAACCCTGCATGACTTTCAACTCACTGTTTCGGTTTAACAGGTCCTAACCTTGCTGTTTTATTTCACTCTCACCGCTATCATCAGTATTGTTTTTGGCAGCAGAGAGCTTTTTAGCCAAAAGTCTCTAGTACTAGTCTCTATACTGTGCGCTACCTGCCCAGCACCAAAAAACAAGTGCAGTATTTAGCAGCTAAAGAACTTAATATTTCCCTCAGGAGTTGGTAGAGACCAGAACCAGAATTAAAAGGAGAGTGGATATTGGACTTAAATACACTCACTGTATCTGCTTACTAACTCTTAGTTTCCAGTTTCGACTGCCCTGAAGTTGCCAATAGATTGATTATCGCAGGTTTTAAGTAAACATCTACCCACACATAGAAATCCTAAATTTTCTAAATATGACTTATAGACTCATAGAAAGCAATTCAGCAGGCTTATACACACCTTCCCTACCACCAACATAATCAGGACATTTGTCAGCTCCTCCAGCATCCGGCCCTGGGCCAAAGTGAACGCCTCCAAGCACCAACCATCTAGACAGAGGCATGACCCAGTTAATTTCTTTCACAACTTTACTTTTTCAATTCATTTTGTGGTTCCGAAAAAGGTAAAAATTAAGATGAGAAATAGAGTGCCTTACTATAGCCAAGGTGCTAGCTAGCATGCTAACTTTCAGAAACCATTTAGAGGAATAGTTCAATATTTTTGGAAATGTGCTTATTCACTTTCTTGCTGAGAATATGTGTTTGTTAAATGTGAATCTACAGTTTGCAAACTGTAGGTTAGTCTCGCCAGTGGTTCAGGGTTTCCTAAACGCAAGACTACACCCCCAAAGTACAACAGCACACAACTTCTGCATTTCACCACCATGTCACTGCCCAAAAGACCAGGGAAACAGGGGGAAACAGCTAGCCTGACTCTGTCCAGGGGTAAAAAAATCTTCCTTAACATGCCATATCAATAACATTATAGCTATAATGTAAGTTCAGCAACAAGCAGGTTTTACAGGGGGTTGTGTGCAGGACTATTTCTGGGCTGGGTGAAGTTACTTCCTGGAGTCTCTCCAGGTTGCCTCACCCACAAGTCACTGCGCCCAGTCAAGAAATATGTCACATTGTTACACTTCAGATTTTGTTTAGATCAAACAAATGAGACATAAAGTGTTAATTAGGGAACTTCAGAAAACATCAAAATGTTGAACTATTCCTTGAAAGGAAGTGTAAAAATACTTAAAAATTAAGCATAGTCTAACCTTCCGACTGTTATCACATATCAAAGTGAGAAAAACTATACCTTTAAGGAAATCCTTGGAGACGATGCACACAGTCTTCCTGCTGCCCCAAATGGCATCTCTGATGTTGGAAAGATGATCCTCCCCTGGCAAGAAGTCTCTGGCCTCAAAACAACAGTGGAAGATATTCTCTTCTGAAAACTGGTTATCCAGCTTCTTCAGCAAAGCAGCTTCCACCCACTTGTAGTCATGGTCGCTAAAGCAGAGGAAGGCATCGTACTGCACCTTGTCCAAAGGTGGTATCGGTTTTGGGCCCTGGAGTACCCTACCGACGATCTTTTTGTAGATGATGAATATGCGCCCTCGAAGACGGGCGTAAACAATCCCGCTGAAGATGACCGTAATGATAAGGAAAGCAGAGAAGATAAAGAGAGCAAATTTAAGATCTTGGACGGCCTTTTCGTCATCTTCCTCACACGGTTCGACAATCATAGAGTAATCCAGCAGCGGAAGGTTATGGAGAGCAGCTGGAAACTCACATCTGTACTCCTCAACTGGGCTTAGGAAGGTTACATTCGTCACATTCAGCCACTTCAGGAAGCTATCCAGATGGCAATCGCAGTGGAACCGGTTTACGGCAAGGCTGAAGAAGCTGAGAGACTGAAAAGTCACAGGGTCTGGGGAGGCTAGAAAGTTGCTTGAGAGGTCGAGTCTTTGCAGACTGACCGGAAAGACATCCGGCTGCAGATAGGTTAAGGCGTTAGACGAGAGGTCGATCTCTACGATCGAGCTGAGGCCGCTGAAGATTCCTTGCGGGAGAGTCGAGAGTGAGTTAAAGCTTAAATTTAGACCGCGCAGATTCCCAAGATGATCAAACAGGTCGAGGCACTTGCCCTGTGTCCAAATTATCTGCAGGGAACTGTCATGAAGATCCAGCGCATTCAAACTATTATTATGAGGCACTGATACTTGGTTATTTAGTGTGCACCACTTGATGAAATTGCCACCATAGAAGAAATTCTTGAGATGATTGAAATAAGATAAAATGACATAAACGTCCTCCAAGTTTGTTAATCTGTTGTCTGCAACATTCACATGGATGCTGTTTATGCCCAAGGTGATGATACTGCTTACTGATTTCAACTTATTGTCGTCCAAAAGAAGGTATTCTAAGTTTGGTAATAACGCAGGAAAACCCAGGTCTCGCAATGAGTTTCCTGTCAGATATAATGCTCGTAATTTGGGAAGATCACTGAATGCTTTGTCTCCCAAAGCACCAATGTGGTTGTAAGACAAATCCAACACCCTAAGGTCTGTCAGATTGGTGAATGTATGAGAATATATTTCTCCTAGTAAGTTGAATGACAGGTTGAGCATTCGTAAATGTCCTTGAAGACCATTGAAGGCATTTCTGTTAATCTGATTGATTCTGTTTCTGGAAATGTCAATAATTATTGCATCCTTTAGAGGACTAAAAACTGCCCTCTGCAGAGCAAATATCCTATTATTAGACAGACTGAATATGTTAACTCCACTGTTGGTTAGGCCTTCGAATGTGCTTTCATCTGGATCAGGCAAGTTGTCATGTGAAAAGCCTTTACCAATGTGTCCAGAGAATTTCAGATGAGTAATTGGAGTTCCCTCTATTGCTTTGAAAAGTTGACGTGAAGTGTTGAAACTGAACCCGTTGTTGGATAAGTCAAGGACATTAAAGGCCATCCCTCTGAAAGGGTTACCACATCCCCAGTCAAAATCTCCACTTCTGTAAAAGTGATTGGACACCAAGTTCAGGAGTGTGAAGTGTTTCCCCCGGAAGCCAGCAAGATCCCCTTCACATAATCTTTGAATCTGATTCAATTTGAGATTTAGTTGTGTGAACTTTGTGAGTTTTGAAAAGAACAGTCCAGGTCGCAGCCTCACTATTTTGTTACCAAAGAGGTCAAGGGTTTCTAAGGACAAAAGTGGCTGCAGATAGTTTTCTGCCAGTATGGAGTCTGTCAAATCGCAACTATCCAAAAAAAGTTGTTCTAAATTGAACAGTCCTGCAAATGCCCTTGGCTCCAGCTGAAGGCCTTTATTTGCTCCTATGACCAGCCGTGTCAATTTCCTCTGCCTTAAGAAAGCATTGTTCCTTATGATGAGCGGCACATTCTGCATTCCAAGATCTAATTCTAGCAGCTGGTCGTAGCCTCTTAGCGAGGTGCTGTTGATCTCAGAGATGTAGTTTGTGTCTAGGTAGAGGTGGGAGATGTTCAGAGGCAGAGCAGGAACCCAGTAGTGGTGCTGGAAGGAACAAGCAGCTACAAGGCCATGCAAAGTGCATGATTGGTAGCATGTGGATACCTGCAGGTAGGAAGGTTATATCATGTCTGTAAATCGTAAAGTGTTATAACTCTACGGTTAAGGGAATTGTTCAACATTTTAGTATTTTACACTTGCAGGTTCTTGCTAAAAGTTAGATGAGATGATTGATACTGATACTCTCACATCTGTATGATAAATACGGAGCTGGAGTCAGCAGCCAGTTAGCGTAGCTTAGCATGAAAAACCAAATTTACAAGTTATAAGATTCTAATTTGAGAGCACTAGATGTGTTGGTTGGCAGATATTGTTACTGTCCGACGCAGCCAGGCTAGCTAGCTGTTTTCCTCCTGTTTTCAGTCTTTGTGCTAAGCTAAGCTAACTGGCTGATGGTGGTAGCTTCATATTTACCATACAGATATAAGAACTATAAGCACATTACCCATAAACATCAAACAATCTATTGATTTCTTGTCAGGGAGGAATCTGATTCTCAGATTAGCTTTACATTTTTAAACTTCATTCCTGGTTGCTGTCAACTCACGGTTCAGTTTGGGAAAAACAAAGTACAACTGATCAGTTTCGAGCTCAATGTCATTCACATACCTGCAGGTATAAACCAATGAAACCCAACTGAAGAGCCAGCGTCCACATACTGTCCTCACCCTAACAACACAACCAAAAAGAAAGTCAAAATTAGCTGAATTAAAAGATGCTGCGTTGTTGCATTAGCTAAGCAGTGCAGACATTAGTGAGGACAGATGGGTTGGTGAACATTTAATAATAATAATAATAATACATTTTATTTATAAGCGCTTTTCTAAATACTCAAAGACACTTTACATAAAAAAAAAACATAAAAGCAGCCAAACAACATCAAATAGTAAAACATTAAAAACACATCAGACTTAGCTAAACATTAAAAGCAATAAATAAAATTAAATAAATAATAAAAATAAATTTAGTAAGGTACAGAGGAAAAAGGGGAATCTGTGCCACACTGCTTACTTTAGCAGGTTCATGGTTCACTCGTGCAACCATTCATGCCTGATATGAGCTTTGATAATAAAGCTCTATTCAAACAGTTGACATGTTTGCTATGAACTAACACCGAGAATGTGTCATATTGTATTCATTATTACTGCTGCTGCACCGGCCATACTAGATACTATTATATTGTTGTGCCTGGAACATGTTTGATGCTTGAGATTTCTAAGTCTACCAACAGTTCACCTTCACACTCACATTCAACCTACACTACTAAGTTATATATTTGTACAGATATACACTAGGTGTTTGTATAATGTGTGCTGTGTCTCTGGAGGAAATGAACCCATATAGATGCTGTGAAGTTGCTCGTCTGGCGCCCTGTGGCTTTGAATACAACAAATGTTATAAATGTTTTAATATGGTCATTTTCCACTGCTGTAGGCCTAAAGTGATTCTTACTTTCTCCAATACTAAAAGTGCATAGCCATTACACAACAAATTAAAAACTTGTTTCAATATTTTGTTACATAAAATGTCCGTCATACGTTACCTGGTGCCTTTTCCTTTATATTTTACCAACCACAATAGTAATGGCTACGACCTAGTCTTCAATCTCCATAGCTAGGCTCGCTATGGATTCCAAATCCTAAAAAGTCTCAAAGGAAAAAAAGAGCCTGTTTATTAACTTATGATTTATTAACTATAAATTATTATCCTGTGGACTGATTGGTTTGCTCTCATCACCAACGCTGTTGGCTTACTGGATCTCGACAAGTACGTTTTCTTTTTTATTTTGTCCAAAAATGGCTCTTTTTTGTTCAGTGCCTGAATTTGATTAAAAAAGGTGCCAGTGCCTGAATTCAGCACAACCATATCCCTAATTCTTTAGTCATTTTTTTAATCTTTTCTTATATCATAATTCTTAGCTTTAAGCTAGCTAACTGTTTACACAGAGACGCAGGGCTTTAGAAATAGTGAGGTCCAAAAACTGAACTGGTTTGGGGGGTTTGGGGGGTTTGGGGGTATCAAAGTAGTTTGTTTTTAGGCAAATATTATACGACTTTTTTTTTTAAATCTAAAAATACTGAGGTCTCGGGATCAGTACTGGCCCGTGGTTTTTTAATGGTTGCTGGCCCTTGGGGAAATGTGGGGGTATGTCAACAGAAAAAGTAGTTGCTAGTTGTGCATCAATTTTCCTTATCCCCTTACTATTTTTTAAATTTTATATTAAATATATATTTTTATTCGCTACGTACTTTAAGATTTGTAAAAAAAAAAAAAAGAAAAAGAAAGAAAAATGCTCAACCTGACATGTTAGTCACGTTAGGAGTAGTTAGGCAAATTCCTTGTGACATTGTATATGGCAGCTTTAATGTTTCATATAACAGCGTTTGTGCCTGAGGTGTGTCAGCAGGTAGAATAAACAAGTGTTCACCATCCGAGTTTCTAACATTCATCATGAACTAGCCTTCCCCTGCCTGTCACCAGTGTACAGTGTTATAGAACCCGTTCACCCTGATATTTACACGTATTCAATATCAGTTACCATGCAATATGATCGAGCTGTACTAAACTCTAGTTCCTTCAGTTTTTACTGAACTGATTTAGAGGGTTCGTTGCGCAACGCAGTCTGTTTTTAATAGCGTTTGTCCGGATGAGTGAAGTCGGACACAGTACAGACGTGTTTCAAGCTAAAGTAAGCGACTCAGGCATTCATGTTCCTGGCCACAAACAATCTTACCTGTGTGTAGACCTTGTCCAAACTGGGAGAAACAGGACAGAGCTGCTCCACCACCGCCGCACAACTACTGCCAATACAGACCTGCTCCTATCTGTCCGTCTGACAACACAGGGGAATGTCGACATTTCACCAAATGACTCAATAACATCCTGTTTGAAAGACCTTTCCTCATTCTGTCGCTCCAGTTGTTGCAGTGAATCTTAATATTATGGGCTGCTTCGTCTTCATCTGCCAGCTTTTAACTTAACCACTGATAGCTACTACTACTACTACTGCGAGTCTTACTGTCAGTACTGTTACCACTGCTTCTAATATTACTGCTGCTGTTACTACTGATACCACTACTACTGCTTCTAATATTACTGCTGCTGATACTACTGATACCACTACTACTGCTTCTAATATTACTGCTGCTGATACTTAATGTGAAGCTGTGAAGCAGGCTTGGCAGCTGTGTCTCTGCATGGATGACCTGTAATGCACTTGTTGTTCCACATGGTGGGGCAGTCAGTCTGTGCCTGAGGCAAACATGGCTGAGAGAGCTATCCAAAGAAAACAACAGACATATCCTTCATTCACATTTTTATAATTTAATAATGTTCAAGCACAAACTAAAAAAAGTTCTTTGTCATTTTTATTACATTGCATATGCTGTATGTGAGTTGAGTGGTAGATAAAACCAGTCTTCCAAGGAAGTGACTGTCTGTCCATAAAGGCAACTTTAATATTTGTATTTATTTCTGTTGTGTTTATTTTGACCTATGGCATGACCACATCCCTGTCCCTATTGTTTTGCAGTGGACATCCTTCACAACCTGTCCAAATATCTCTGCAGACCTGTTTTGGAGAATTGACCTGTACATTCACATGTCGTGCTTCAGCAGTCTCTCTCAGGCTGTATTCTTTAAGTGTCACTCGTCACTTGTTATAAACCATGCGCTTCATCCTCCGCAGCTTTGAGCGTAACGGCGCTCTCCATCTTCCCTCTGCCAGTGAGGACGTGATGGGCCAGAAAAACCACCAACACGACAAAAAAGACAGTGCACACTATTATCCCCACAAGACCCCCCACTGTCACTCCTGACGGCTGCCTTGTTGGGTCTGGGTCTGGCTGTGGCACAGGTGTGGATGTGATGATGTTTGGAATCGTGGCCGCCCCGGAGCCCTCCATCCCTTCATCTACGTCCGTGTGATCCTCGTTCTTTAAGCACTTGTATTGCTCAACTAGTGTGTATCCTGGATTGCACGAGCACACATAGCCACCGAATGTGTTTTTACAATTTTGATCACAATAAGAGAAAAAGCACTCGTCCAAATCAATGCAAACAGATTCGTTGTCCCTTATGTCGAGTAAATAGCCATCAGGGCAGTAGCACTGCGACTGGTCATTCGGGTCGCACTCTGGGGGGCATTCAGCCTTCCCACAGTACAGTTTACACTTGTACGGTGACTTTGGGTCCTCTTTATATCCATCATAACAAGAGCACCTGTAGCTGCCGGGAGTGTTGTCGCAGATTTGCTCACATGGAGCGGACGCGCACTCGTCCACGTCGACGCACAGGCCGCCCTCCACTCTGTATCCATCCTCGCAGACGCACTGGAACCCGCCGACCGTGTTGACGCACTTGAAGTTCTCCCCGGGACACTGCCGCTCGTCCGTGCAGTCGTTAAAGTCCACACACGACCTGCCGTCCTGCGCCAGCTTAAAGCCGTGGTCACACGTACACGTGTAGGAGTTTCCGTCCTTGTAGCAGGCGTGCGCACAGCGCAGCGGCAGGCACGGGTCTTCTGCGTCCACTTCGCAGGTGACTTTATTTTCGGGGCTGACGGTTTGTCCCGGCGGGCAGTAGCAGGTGGGCACATTCTGGGGGTCTACTGCGCATTTATACTCACAGCCACCTTCGTGTATCTCGCAGCTCCAGGGCGCCTGATGCCACTTTTCGGAGAAGCAGACGTATTTAGTCTCAGCTGGCATCTGGACAGCGGTGCTCCCAGGGGGCAACGACAGCAGATCCTCGCCTTCAAACCCCATGGGGGTCCTGTAGTAGACGGAGTCGTCCTGTCCGACCGCTAGAATTTGGCACGGCTCAGTGAAGGTGTGCTCACAGAGAAAACCGGCCGCATCTTCGTCGCATGGTTCCTGGATCCATTTAAAGTTTTCCTCTGTAGAAACTGAAACGCAGCGATGAGAAGAACAGCTACTGTCAAAAGTTTGAGCCCAGTTGTTGAAGTCGGTCTCGTTCTCTTTGGTTACCCACTGGAAGCCTTTCAGCCCAGCAGCGGCGTCAGGACAGTCGGTCGTTCGATGTAAACCGATCCAGAACCGCCTCGTTAAGTTCTCCAACAAGATCAACAGAATATTATTAGATACAGTGGAGCGCACCGTCATTAAGTGGCCATCTAAAGCTTCGCATTGACTCTTGGCGGTCTTGTAATCGCTGGGATATTTGAAGACAGTGAAACACTGGTTCCCGATGCAGTAACCGTTATCCGGCTGTATCCCGCTGGAACGTCCAACCAGGAACGTCAGCAAGACGACTAACAGTCCCGTAACAGCCTTCATGTTTGACCCTCGTTGTGTCCCTTTATTTTCTCGCGCGCTCCAGCAGTCTATAGGCTTGTTTGTTTGAAAAAATGTTTTGCTCGTATTTATAACCCCCCAACTCCATGTTAGTGCCCCGGCGCAGGAAGGAAGTTGCTCGTAATCAGCCCGCTGAGCCTCTCTCTGTCCCTCCACAAACTCCTCAGCACGGCGGACCACAACCCCAACAAGGCTTTACGCACAGCTTTTACGCGCGTACGCACCGAAGCCGCGCGCACGCACGGGGGGCATCTACCCAACGCCCCCTATTTGCAGTAGCTCCTCCCAACGACGCTCTACACAGAATGCCAGTCCAAGTGAGTCCTTTAGTCTCGTGGTCAGACTTTAAGTCCAGTTTTACTTGAAGGCAGGTTCAAATTCTGACAGCATGTTTTAGACAGAAGATGAACGTCATTATGTCTCAGAACAAGAGAAAAAGAAAGAGGTTAAGGCAATGAAAATCTTAAAATATGTTGATTCTCACTTGAGACAGAAGGTCAGCAGTGAAATACAGAAAGTTTTTTTTTCTGAGAAGAATAAGATATAGTGTACCTAATGGTAAAGATGAATATTTCCTATCACACTGACTGTGTCCTATAGGGACTGCAGCCTACTCTATGAGACTAATGTACAGTATGTGGCAGGAGAAAGGAGGAAATAGGAACAATGTAAAGGAAGGTTATTGCTTCATTAGCCAGTGCAAGTGTTCAGAAAAGTCATTTTGTTGCAAGAATGTACCGGGCCTGAACAAAAACAACCAATCAGATCCCAGAAATAGAAAACGCAACACAACCACCGCCTCCAGCTTTTAGTCTTTTTAATTTATCACTCAATACTGACATATTCACCAACGCAAAATCATCAGTTTTACAGACAAGTAGTGATGAAGGAAAATGTGTTTACATATACGGAGACCATAGCAGCACAGTTTTACATTCATGTTTAGTAGATCGTAGTAAAGCCTGTCTGAGGCACCAAGAGCAGCCTGTTATACAGTAAAGTTAAGAACATTGAACCTCATGTAAATGTCAGACTGTACAGCCAGTACAGCACTGTGACATTATCAGCGACTTACATTTTTTATGACCGGATGCACTTAAACCAATTGAACAGTTCCTGTTTTGTTAGGCACTATATGCAGTATAGTATAATGTCTTAGAATGATTTGTGTCCAAATCAAGCCATGTGGTGACAAGATTGTTTAGATGGAACAGAATGTGGGCTTTATTTCCCTAAAGTATGCACCCAAAGATAAACTAAACATTGGACAGAGTCTGGGTTTGTCAGTTTGTAATATATACCATCAGGTCTTTGCATGTGTAAATGGTCTGTAAAAGCTTGACTATGACATCAGTCAGTATGCATCACAAACAGTTCCCATAGCAACTAACACATCCCAAAACCAACAGTGGTCTGATTCCAAACTACATATTCGGTGTCTGTCTCAAACGTCATAAACCCAAATGCAAAACCATCAGTCACAGTGAGTCACTGTGATAATTAATGTGCATCTGACTAAAGAGAACAACATCTATACGAACGCTTAAAGTGTTCTTTTACCAAAAGATAAAAAACATATAGTTTTAACTTACAGTAGGTAGTTCAAAAATACAGTGTGTACTATAACCAATTTGTGGAATGTTACATTACTTGCAGTATAACTGAAAACGCAGAGCAAGGGCTCAGGCACATTTTTTTTACATTAAAGAGCTTGATTACAGTGCGGTGTGATTACAGTGTAATTAGACAGCAACAAAGTGAAATCGAACATAAAACTGGTTCTGTCATGAGAGAGTCTTGTCTTTCATCCCATCCTTACATAAATAAAAGGTTTATTTGTTGGATTTGAGACTGCACAAGTACCATTATACTATTATTTATGATATATAAAACTCCAAATATCTGCCAAATTAAAAAATACTAAACATTCTGTTACAGGGTATAACTATAAGGCAAATAAAGCACAGTTCCATATACACATAATGTATTACGCTGTCTTCTTTTAAAGTCCCATATCTCTATTTTGTGTTAGACCTGCAATTAATTAGTCACTTAATTCATTATTTGTCAACTATTTTATTAATCGCCAACTATTTTGATAAATTCTCTGATTTCAGTGTCTCAAATGTGAATATTTTCTGGTTTCTTGAGTCCTCTGTGACAGTAAAGTGAATATCTTTGGGTTGTGGACAAAACAAGAGGGCATCACCTCGGGCTTCGAGAAACTGTGATCAACATCTTAACCATTGTATGGACCAAACAAGTGATCGGTTCTTTGGGAAAAGGTCGACAGATTAATCGAAAATGAAATAATCATCAGTCGCAACCCTATTAAATGTGCGTTTTCAAATGTGATGTGGACTATGACCCTACAGTATGTGATTGGTTGCTGCTTTCAAAGTTTCCAATTAAGGTTCTATATTGTACATTTGACGTCTCAGAGGAAAACCAGTGCAATGTGACACGAGGAGAAGGTCCAAAAAGCAGCACACTTCCTCACAGGTGCTATTAAAGTATTTGCGGGTCGTTTTTAAACGGCTTGTCGAAGGACAACCTCTTATACGTCTCTGTGGTCACCTGCTGCAGGTAGAAAATGTCGATATTTGGATGTTTGAAGGAATGAAGCTGAAATTTGCCGCAACGTTTGATCGCGTTATGGACCAGGAAAAACAGCAGGGCCATTAACAGCACCAGGAACACAGTGATACCCAGGACGCTGCCGGTCTTCACATAAGAGGGCACTGCGGCTGGGTGAGCACCGGCCAGCGTGGGGTATGGAGGAGTGGAGCCTGATCCTTCCTCCTCCTCCTCCACCTCCTCATCAATGGACACACACTTGTACCCTTTGTGCAGCTTGAACCCCTTGTTGCACAGACATGTGAAACCACCATTTAGATTTTCACACTTGTGATCACACGGCTTCTCAGTCTCACATTCATCGATGTCGGTGCAAATGGTGGTGGTGTTGGTCACATCTAGAATGTACCCATCAGGGCAGAAACACTGAAGCAAGTCCTTCTGGACAATGTCAGGGTTTGGGATGCACTTTGCCGGACAGTCTCTCTCTGTGCAGTTCCTCTCACACTTGGTGGGATCTCTGGCTGACACCTTGTACCCCTTCCGGCACACACACCCATACACCCCACTGACTTTATCACACAGCATGTGCTCACAGTTGGCACAGATCGAAACATTCACACACACTCCATCCTCTTCAACAAAGTCCTCTTTGCACCTGCACTCGAACCCTCCCTTTGTGTTCTCACACTGTGTCCCCTCACCTGTGCACGGGTTCTCCTCATCACACTCATTCACGTCCACACAGCTACTCCCGTCCTGCGCCAGCCTGTAGCCTTCCAAGCACTTGCACCCATGGGTGTCGCCCTCCTGCTGGCACCCCTGCGCGCACCCGGCGCACGGATCCGCGGTGCAGCTGATTTTGTTGGGACGGAGAGTTTGCCCGGCGGGGCAAAGGCAGGTGTTCGTTGTGGAATTGCAGTTGTGCTCACAGCCGCCCCCCAGCACCTCACATATCCAGGGAGCTGGCAGCCACTGCTTCGAGAAACACAAATGCTTCGAGTGCGGATATTTGGCGCCAGGCTTTTCCGCTACAGCGGTGGTTCCTTCTGGAAACGTTTCGGAGTCTTTCACCTCGAAGTTCATGTGCGAGAAGTACTTCACCTGTACGCTTCCGCCTGCCTGCAGCCCACTGCAAGTCTTCCCCTGGAGTGTATACTGGCACAGGAATCCGCTCAGGTTTTCACTGCACGGCTCCGACAACACCGTGAAGTTCCGTTCCGTCGACACGGAGATGGAGGAGCATTTTTGGAGACCTGTTTTGCTGCCGGTGCCATGCAGATCCAGCCAGTAACTACCGCTGAGCCCGCTGGGTATACTCTTAAATATCTTCTCTAGGTGTTCTAAACTGAACTCAAATAACTGTCCAAACTCCTTGCATCTTTTCTGTGCGCTTGGAAAGTCCTTGGACTCCAGGAAAAGCGCAAAACATTGTTTCTCGGTGCAATGTCCGTGCTGGGAGAGGACCGTTTCCTCCAGCCCGCAGAGGAAAAGCACACAAATAAGCAGCGCGTTTGTTGTAGGAATCATAATGTCGACGTTAGAAAAGCTTGTGATAGAAACCTCTGCGCTCGACGACCTGAAGCTGATACGTCTGGAAGCTGATCACAGTCCCCATTTATATATTTTCTTTCGGACCAGGCGAGGAAGGAAGTTCGTCCTGGCCAGCGCTTGCACAACCCCCACGCTGGCCAAAATTCTTATCTCAAAGAAAACTGGCCCATCAAAACCCACACAAACTACTCAGAACGCACGCGCGCGCGCGCGCACACACACACACACACACACACACACACACACATACATGAACTTTTAATAAGAGGGGGGTGAACAAAATCCCATAATCCTCTTCTGTAAGTGACTCTTCCCTTCAGATTGATTATATTCCATTTAAACTCTGGGAAGAGAGACCTCCAAAAAACTGATACACATACATATTATTCACTATGGTTTTGTGGCATGTCATTAAGATACAATTATAATCTGTAAATAAAAAAAAAAGTTATATTGTAAAAAAAATTAATTATTAAGCAAGCCCTGCCCTAGATAAACCTCAGAGGTGAGTCAGTTTAGCTTTAGTATTACTACATATCTTGACGTCATAGTTGAGGGCAGCTAAAGGAGAAAATTAAATTAATTAAAATGAGTTGGTATTCAAACAGGAAGGTGGTTTTGAGTGGTCCAATAATAAAAATGATTAAATTCAACATCTCATTGAAATTTAGTGACAAGATAATGAATAATGACATTTTTGCACACAGATGTACCAACAGAACACCGTACTTAAAGCTCCCCCCTCAGAAATCAGTGGTTCTTCTTCTTGTTGCTACAGTGTGATGATTTAATGATGAGTTTGACACTAGACATCTTGAGTCCAACAGGAAAACTTTAGAAATAAACAATATTTTCATATTCAGAGATTCTGGAAGTTTGGAAGAATTAAAAGGCTGCAAGGATATTGTTCTTCAATAAATCAACATGTTGAAAGGGAAGAATTAAAAATAAATAAATTCCAACTTAAAACTGCACCAACCAATTATTATTTTTTGGATCAAATGACTATATGTAATGTGTGAGAGTCCACTCGTGATTAAATCCCAGAGAGAATTATCACCCATGACCATATTTTCCAACCTCTAAACCGGGACCCTTAAGTGTACCACATGTTTATGCACACAAGATGATGATGAATGATAACAGGAGTTAGTGGAGTTCAGGGAGAGCAGCTGGAGGACATCAGAGGGTAAACCAGACAATATTTTCTCATAAAATACGATCCAGTTTCACCCAAATCAGAAACACTCTGGTAGCTTGTAGCTAGCCATGCTGTTCCCTGCTAACTAATGAATATCTGCTGATTGATGAATGTCATGATACAATTGGTTGCAATTGGTCAGTTTTTGCTTATGTAAGCACGTGTCACATTTTGTTTCACAGGATGAAAAAATTACTGGATTTCGACATAAAATACATAGAAATTGAGTTTTTGTAAAAAATTAAAAAATAAATGGCATTCATTGTTGAATAACATTTTCCATTTTTCCTGGACCTAAATAATAGAAATATTAACGAAGAACAGCCTTCCTTCCAGGAGAGACACTGACTCATGGATTCGGAAGGCAGACAAACTTCCTTAGAATACCATAAATACTACAGAAGTAGACACACAATTGTCTAACTTATGGTCAATCTAAATCAATCATCATTCTTAAACTATTATCGTCTTTCAACTTAGTAAGGCTGGTAGAGGAGGAAGAGAGCTGCCTTACACTTCCCTTGGAAGGGAAGGTGACTGGACTTCAAAGAGGAAGTACAGTATGAACAAGAGGGCGGGTCCAGAAACAAAACGTGACAAGAACTACATTACGTAAACCTACATTCTCATTTCTTGAGCTGCTTAGTTTCCAGGTGGAGTTTTGGTTGAGTAGATCTAAAAGAATGTGATCGAATCTGATCGATTCCCTCCCAAAGTGACCATGACCAATGAACCATGTGTTTAAGAGTAAGGAAATGTAAATGAGTATCAGCTGTAACCAAATTTGTATTCAGAGACATGAAACCTGACATATCAGTGTAATGCAGACATTTACGACACAATGAAGAACTATACAATTCACAGAGGTGGTAGGCTCCATGCTATTTCAGTGCCTCCTTATTTCCCCTCATGAAAGGGGTGGGGCTGGTTGGAATGGGGTGGAGGGGATGTGACCCAGGCGTACAGGGAAAGGAATCCTTTGTTCACGCTGTAGAAACAAAATAATCAGTTCTGTGTTTTTATTTGAGGAGTGAACATTCAATATTAAGATTCTGGCCTTTGCCAGGACGCCTAGCAGTGGGTGGCATGGAATCAATCCAATACAGTGACACACACGTCTTTGTAATCTTAACGAGAATTCCGCTTGGCGACAGAAACCTTGCTGTTCGGTCTTCGTAAATATTTTCTCTGATATCTAACGTTAATACTGATTTTACCCAGGGGAGCATTCAAGTCAAGACGTGCCTGAAGACTGTTTTGTTTCTCTTAAATAAAGGCTTGCTCTTTCCAGTCATCAGATTTTCTGTGTTTACACAGTAAAACAATGTGATGTAGTTACTTTGACAGGGTTCATTAGAACAACTTTGCTTCAGTTGGATATATGTGACAATGCTCCATACTTTCCGTTAAAGCAACTTCGCCTTGACTGACCCGCGAAGGCATTGCTAGTTTCCAGCTGCCTGCAATATATTATATACACACTGACGGCCAAATGTTAAGGACAACTTCTTTATCCTTAAAGTGCAGCAACAAGAAGGCAGGCCAGCGGCAGTGGAACACTACAGAATGTATTTGTAAGTAATATACAGTCACCTTCACATTTAAAAGTACAGTGTTGAAATAACTCCCAGAGTTGATTTCAACACTTTTTCAGGGTTTATACAGTTCCACACTCTATAGTTCTAGTTAAACATTTAACACTTTGCCAGAGTTCCTTTGTAACTCGCAAAAGAGGGTTACATTACACTGAGTGATACAACATAACTCTGAGTTCATTTTTTTACTATAGAGTTAATTTTACTCCCATTACACTGAAAAAATGTAAATATTAATAATAACAATGAATTACGATAATCTCCATAATTTTCAAAAATAACATTTATTTTTGCCTTTTCATGTGTAAAACCATGTACAATCATATAATATATATCATCCTATATCATAGTCATATAAATCATACAAATTAAGGGCAAAATGTGCTTTAAAATGTTCATCAAATGGCTTGAGGGAGTGGTTTGCCTGTCCTGAAATCAGATGTTTATCCATGGTGATGTAGAAGCTGTCGAACGAGTTCTTCCAACGTCCAAAAGCGAGGACGTATGGTTGTTGATCCTGCTGGTGGTGGAGATGATCCTCCAAACTGTAGCATGACTAAGGCTGAGATAAGAAAACAGAGAGAGAAAACTATATTATTGAAGTGATTACTCAAACATCTCCCTGGCTAGTGTGAGAAAGGAAAGCCTATGAAGACAATTTCGTCCACTTTAACAATCCTAATTTACACAAGTGGCTAAGAAAGTGATGTGACAAATTATTATAATCACGTTAATAGTTTTTGGAGATCGGTTCCCCAGGTGGTGGTGAAAGAAGATGTATCAGCAACAACAGGGAGGTCATTTCTTATAGGCTGAGGACAAAGAGTCAAAGAATAAACTGAAAACTCTTCAAATGTAATACTTTGATAATAATAATTTGAATGAGAACAAAGAGTCATTATGAGTCCACCTATTGCTCATATTCATTACAAAAATCAGATCAACTTACAGAGACATACAGAATAAACTGAATTCATAAAATAATGAATGAAGCAACTGTAACTGCAGTTATAGAAAATGATTTTAAACAAGCAAAACAAATACAACTCACTTGTTTCCCCATCAGAGAGCCTTTGCTTCAAGAACAAACAGAGTACAGTCTTTTTCCACCTTTGAGAAAGAAGGTATTAACTTATTATTAACTACTACTACTACAAGAAATACTTTTAAATTTCAAGTAATTCTAAACATTTCATTCCAAACTTACCAATCCTTTTGTATCCAGGAATCTTGGGAAGGTGGAGAGGATATCAACATTTCTACCTGGGTCATTAACAAGCTACTAAAGGTCTCTCACCTCTTCTGCAGAATCTGGGAAAAAGAGCAATAAAACATTCAGGTCACACGGACAACCAGATACAACACGCTGTGGCCCCTGAGGCCCCTGTGGCCCCTCACTGTATGTTAAACCGTGGTTAAGGCAAAAAAAAAAGGGCTAGCAACTAGCTCTAACCTCAAACAAGATTGTATACAGAAAAAATCTTTTAATATTTTATTTTTCATTGCTTTGAGCTTGCTTGTGAATTGCTGTTAAACAATCATTGGAATGGTTTAAGTTAGTGACTAATGGTAAGCGAGCTGCCACAGACGGCTAGCTAAATGTTAACTAATCACCTGGAAAAAATGCTGTTCAGTCCTGACAACAAACTATAGGCTTTATAAGTAACATATTCTCTGGAGATGTTTTATTGTACATACTGCAGTTCACAGCATCCATTGTTTCAGGAAGTTTAACTTAATTGCACTCACCATGTAGAGCTGCAGGAGTGGAGGGACGTGGTGATAACTTGTCTCCAACCCACAAAGTGAAATGTTTCTTCTGTGGGCAGAGTTTAATTACATCTATGCAAAGTTGGGCTAACACCAGAGAGGGTGTGCTAACACTGATGTTATCAACTCTGTCAAATAACTCCAACACTGAACAACATTTAAATCAGAAAGTGGTAAAATTATACTAGTGAATATATAATAAAAATAAATAAATAAATAAATAAAATTCACTATATAATAGTGAAAATCAACTCGGAAATGTTTAACCCTGAAATGTCAACACTTTTTCTTGCTGTGATCAGTGCCCATGGACCCTGCTTTTCACTTTTGGGCACATAACATAGACTTACATTAATTTCGTGGAGACTTAACATAACCACTGACCCAAAAATCAGCTTCTTCTAAATGAGGGAATGCAGCTTTTGTCCCCAGTTGGACAAGCTGTCCCTAATTCACTGGTCTTTTGTTTGTATTGTGTCCATGAAGGTAGCCTAAGTCAGACCCACACAAACACAAACACACAGCCTGCACACTGTATGTTGCCAACCCTAAGTGTTGTTATTTGACGACCTGGGA